CCCCCCCCTTCCAAGGGTCCGTTCTAGATCCGCCTATGTGTGTCACAGTGAAAACTAGCCAGGGAGAGTATCGAGTTTCGGTGAATGAATTTATCATTCCTCTTTTTTTTGATCTTTTGCGTCGCTGTTTTATTTATTTCGCAGTTTTTAGAAAATGAAGCGAAGTGACTCGGAAGACGAATCGAGCAGAAAGGTTAGAGTCATTGAGCGAATGAAATTTGCTTTAAAAAGGGAAGATTCGGAGGAAGAGATCTCAGAAGCTGAAAAGCAACGAATAATGAAAGAAGCATCAGCTTCCTTTGATTATAATTTGTGAGTTTTTTGTGAATTTCGTATTTCTTATATGCCTCGCTCTCTTCTCTCGATCGTTTTCTTCACTTTTTCTGCCGTAAAGGGAAGCCAAATTATTGAATTCTAGTCAGAGGATCAGAATTTTGTCCAAGAATAAGTTAGGAGGGTGAGGAAGCTGTCGTCGGTAGTCCTATTTTTGGCGCTTTTACTGGCTATTGTTTCTTCGTAATGTATTTTCATGTGTCGCCGCAACGACCGTCAAACTTTCCATGTCTCGAAGCTGCACCACCTGCACATAATATGCAGATTGACACGTAAAACATCTGTAGAAGCTACATGCAAAGGGCTAATACAATTTAGGTATATGATCGCAAAGAAAGAACTGCTAGCAACAGAGTCATCTGAGGAAATGAATGCTGTCAGTGAAGAAGCACCTGGACGCAAGCAGTGGATTCAGTTTGGATCGCAGTTTCTATTAGCGCTCTATCCATCTCCGTATCCGAAACGCATCGCTCAGTCACCGAATGTTTATATTTGCCGTTTCTGCCTCACCGCTATGGCGAATTCCACAATGTACCAAATCCACATGGTATTTTTTTGTGCGTTTTGTCATGTGTAACAGCAGTACAAAACGCATATTGTCGCGGGGTTGTGTGTGTGTGTGTGTTTGTGTTCGTCTGTACCGATTTTTCATCTCAGGACCTACAAGAGCTACCGG